TTTTTTCTGTGTGATTTCAATATTAAATTGCATTTTCTATGCTACTGATTTTCCCCAGTGAGTTGCAGTTCAGAAATCTCATGGAATCATCCTCCTTCCATGGCTCCCTGAACTGACAGCATCTCCCAGGTGCAACCTGCATGAACCAGAGTGGAGAATTCTCTAAGGGAAACTTTGATTGACAAGGCCATGGGGGACAAAATGCAATAAAAGAAGAAAAGAGTTTTCTTCAGGACATGGGTGGGAGAACACCTTGGAATGACTTGCTGCTTAAATTAAATAACAGGGAAGGAAGCAAACATCATTCCAACATAAAGAAGTAGAATTTGTTGGAAAAAAAAAAACAAACAAACAAACAAACTTGTTTCTGCAAGTGATACAACTTAAAAAATTATAATGGCAGAGGAGAACGATGGCACTGCAGTGGTTTGTCTTTTGTTCCTGTTTGCAATTTTTCTGGTCACTGTGATATGCTGACACATGGGTTTGGAATCTTTATACTAGATGACTATGGATGTTTTGATTGAGTAGTTATGAGGCTGGATTTTTCTGACCTCTGCAAGTATAATAAGATATTTATAAGATCACTGCAACCCCAATGATATTATTAATGTAGGTGTGCTATATACACAAGTGAATTATAGTCCAATAAATAGAATAAAATTCAGTGTAAAACAAATGCTTTATAGCTTTGCATGCATCTATGAAATAATGCATGGATATGTTTATGAAATGGAAGGCTTTAAAATGCATTCTTCACTTCTTTCCCTGATGCACTGGTTTCATTATCAATTACCACCATATCCTCCCATGCCGGGGAGACTGTGAAGAGGAAAATCCTAACTTTTGCTTTGTCTCAGGAAGAGAGGCAGTAGCTGTTACAAGGGGTTTTTTTCTGCTGAAGAATAGATTTCAGTGGAAAATTCCTGTCCAGCTCTAGCATTTTTGGATCAGTATGCACAGTGGTTTCCTGGAAGGCACGACCAGCATGTGTGAAGCCTGAGCCAAGCCTGGGTGCAGAGGCAGCTTCCAGTGTCCTCAGCTTTTCCCAGCTGTGAAGCAGCTTCAGGAAACACTAATTAGCTCCAGCAGAGGAGTCCACTAGGATTTCTGGTCTCACTTCAGGTTTCACTTCACTTTAATTTGATATTAAGTATCTAAGGAAAACATGTCCTTTAAGCTATGCTCAGTGGGCAAAAGGTCTATTCAGGAGCTCAGGGGTTTTTTCCTGAAGTCTTTAATAGATGACAATAGAGAGGTATTCATATATCTCTTTTTAAGCAATGGAATATTTTTTTTTAGTAAAATTAATTCTGATTTTTTTACAGTTTTATGTATGCTGACAAATGCACAAAACACCAGACGCTTAAAATTACACCTGTCCTTAAATACTGTGTTTGTTGGATAGCCAAGATATCCCAGGAATAAAGTGCCCATGTGTTGGAATCTGTGGTATTTAAATGATCCCGAGATTGTAAAAGTCTCTGTCTGTCAGCCCCCTGCCAAAGCAGAAGCCATAACTGGTCTGTGCTGGTTTCCAGGTTGTTTATTCTGTTTATCTCTCACATGTTCTGCTGCCCTGCCCAGCTCTGTCCTGCAGGGCAGCGTGTGGGGCTCTGCCCTCAGTGGGATGTTACAAACATTAAATACCAGAAACTCCCTGGGCTGGATTGACAAGAACGTGCCAAGATCTGTCACCTACGTTGGACAGTGTGTCCCCAGCCTGAGCCAACAGAAAAATGCCAACACCACAGTGAGACATGGAGGGCATGAAGAAGGAGAAAAAGGACAAGGCACACCCAATTTCCTCCATCTTGTCCCCTTTGGACCCCTCATCTAGAATCCTAAAATTTTACTTTTGCACCTGGCCACACTTAATTATTACTGATATCAAACCCTCAGAGCTGGTAATTCATCCTTAAGATTGAAAACTCTTTTCCATGGACAGAGATCACAGACAGTGTCTCTGGGGGCTCTGTCCAGGGGGTTCCTGACCCCTGCCAGGGTCCCAGGCCTTCCAGGGCAGCCAGAGGGAAGCCCTGGGTTCCCACACCCATGCTCTGACTAAACTGAAATCCATCATTTCAGAGCTCTTGCCTTGCCCATCTCTCCTGTTTGCTCCACATTACCCAATAAATGCATGGCAGGATAAAGGTGGTGCAGTGAGCAGCCAATCCCCAGCTCCAGGTGCTTTCAGGGTGGTGGCAAAGCCCCTTGCCATGGCTGTATGACTCTTTTTCTTAAGTGATTTGTCCTGTGCTTTTGCACTTGACTAATTTCATGCTGCTGGCAGTTGTTCCATTTAGTATTCCATTTGTATTTTCCATTCTGTTCCTACCAAGATGTGCACCTTCACCAACATTACTGCTAATGATTTTCTCTTCTTCTCATCAATAAAACACATATTCTCTGGAGTGGCAGTAAGTTCATCTGTTAGAAAATGCATTACTGTTAATAAGACAACACAAATAAGGAGGAAAATTTATTTCAGCCTGGCAACGGTATCATCACTTTAGTTCTGCCACTTGTGTGTATGTTGGGGAGGAGGAGTAGGCTCTCTTCTTCCTCTCATTTTCAACAGAGATTTTGTGGTTCAGTTGCCAGAGCTAGAGAGAAAATTTCTTTCTGTAGTATCTATTTACAAAATGTCTCAAACCCAGGAATAACAGATAATGGAAGTATTTTGATAGGCAACATGAAACACAGAGTGTGAGATGAGACAGTGGGGCTTGTCTTTTGGTAGCTGATTTCATGCTCACCTTTGCCTACTCAGGATGTCCATCTCTCTCTCTCTTATCATGGAACAGAAGCATTATTTAGAATAAAAGTTTCCCCACGTGCAGGACTGCTGCAGAAGTTGGTACCCCAGTCAGCAGCAATGCTGGGCTCTGGCTGCACCCCTGGCTCTGACTGATCACACAGGTTTGTGCATCAGTGTGCAGTGGAACCACATCCCAAGCACACAATCGTAGCATGGGACAAAATGAAAAATTTCGTGGCACATTTTGCTTTCTGTGTGCTCTTTGGTGAATGATACATGAGCCCGTAATCTTTTTTATAGTCAAAATTTCTACTGTGCTTACTTGTGGGCAGCATAACCTGAACAAAAAATTGTCTATTGTCTGTGTTCTCTCTTTTGGACAAAATCCCTAAAATCTACAGAAATGTTTATTAGTCATATAAATCCCCAGCTTTTACGAAGTTATTTAATAATATTAATTCACTAATTTATATACATGAGGAAGAAAGTAGCCTAATTTGCCAACACACAGTGGGCTGGCACTGTCCCTCCCATGCTGCAGTGGAGAATTCAGTCTCCAAAGACTTTCATGCTTGGGACAGGTGTTGGGTGGGTTTGATTTTTTCCTTGCTTCTCTGCCAGCTCTGCTTTTCCACCTCTCTGCAGCAACAAATGACTGTGCACATGGCTGGGCGTGAAAGTAGAAATAATAGGTTTTGTCAGTTTGAATTTTCAATTTTTTTTTTTTTTCCCTAGGAAAAACTGCATCTTTTTCTTGGTGTAAAGTTATTCCCACAGCTGCAGTCTCTGGTGTGTGTGTGTGTGTGTGTGCACATTGTGTGGGAATTGCAAGGTAATCAAGTGCTGGGCAGTCACTGGTTGTTTTTTAAGAAGCAACCAAACAATAGTGGAGAGTTTGGGTAGGAAATGGATGCTCCAAGGGTGCTTGTTGCCAAGGCTCTTTGGTGTCTGTGATCCTCAGCCTTGGCCACTTTTAGTAATGTTGAATTTTTCCTGCAAGATGACCACTAGTAAATTAGGACACTTTCAAAATGAATTAATGATTA